CCTCTCCCATTGCGAAGCACAGGCTTCGGACGCGCAGGCTCCGGACGCGCAGGCCCAGTGGCCATGGCCCACGGTCCCAGCTGCTCCGCGGCATGTGGGATCCTCCCGGACCGGGGCATGAACCCGTGTCCCCTGCATCGGCAGGCGGACCCTCAACCACTGCGCCACCAGGGAAGCCCCACATTAAAAAAAATGTCTTTTTTAAATACACAATTAAAATATAGCTGCTCCTACTTTTTCACGATGTACTCTGAATTTGGCATTTTACGTGCATGATCTCACTAAGTCCCACACTGAGATGGAATCACCAGTTCATCCGAGCCCAACACTAAGTAGTTTGAGATATGTGAACTTACATATGGATTTGTAACCGTAATTATTAATAATGTACCTCTTCTGCACTGTATATTGACCATCAGATATTGACTAAAGCTCGTATGAAATCGTCATTGTTAACAAGACATTTCAAAATGGCACACCCAGAACACAAAGAGAGCCCTGTGCAGGCGGAAGGGGAGGTTGAAAGTGAATATGGAAATCATGAATTACTCGATAAGCCTGCGGTGCTCTTCTCTTCTTTCCAGGTCTATGTGGTTTGGGGAAGCATCTCGTTTAGCTGCATTCACTGCTAAAGTCTAATGTTGAATTAGTCTGAATTAAAACCAGACTATTGAATCACTGTTCTGTGTGTGTATATATATATATATGTGTGTGTGTGTGTGTATTTTAACATGCATAATATATTATATATAATTTTAATTATTGTATATTACTGTATAAATTACCAGCGTATATATATAATATATTATATATGTTATGTATATAATTTTATTACTGTGTATGTATATATTACAAAAGTTATGTGTTCCATCAATACATAAAATAACTATTTTTAAAACATGAATTATCACATTTCTCATCTCATCTTTTAAAATACCTTTTCTTGTGTTTATAATGCATACTATATACAAGTAGAACTGTACATGTATATGATTTATAAATAAATATACATATATTGGGGTTGCATGCCCAAAAATGTTTTTACTGGTAAACATGCAAATCAACTGTTGGAGACCACTGGTCCGTCTCGCAGAGCAAGGAGAACTCTCACAACTTTCTTCTAGCTCTTGCTACTATTTCATGGTGTCAAGGAGTGTGGAAATCTAGGCACACACGTCGATGTGGATGAGGGCATAACTGGATGATCAAACTTGCTTGAGGGTGGGTTTCATTTCAGCTACCTCCACGAACAGGCTAGGGCATCTTTTGGATGAAGGCGATTAGACCTCTCCGGGGTGGAGGGAGTGCTAGGATCTCTAAGGTCTCATCTGCAATAAGACCTTGACGTGAATGGTCCCCAGCCCCCTGGATTCTACCTACAGGGAGCTGTGGACAGGCTGGGCATGATGCCAGCCAGGATTCTGCATCTGCCAGGGGAGTATCTGACGGCCATGGTCCCTGATGCTCAAGGGCCAAGGAATTTTCCACTCTGAATCCTACAGGAGCCATGAGGATGGTGAAATGTAATTGCTTTCCTAGCAAGCACTCCGTGGGGATGTGATAGCTGCAGTCCAGACCCAGTAGGCAAGGTGGGGGCCTGGCTGAAAGAAAGTGGATGATCTCCTGATGTCATTAAAGAGAAGGAAGGTGGGATTTGGGGAAGCCGGCCCTTTTTGGGGGGTGTAAGGATATATGATTAAATGTGTGCTCCCTACTGTCCTTGGGATGGTAGAAATCAGAGCTGGGGCTTGCAAAGGGAGGAGAGCGCCCTTCTTTGGATTGCGTTTGGCTGTGGTCATCCAAGTTCCACCTGGCTTCTCCAGTTGATGAGTAGTGCCTGTGGGCCTGTGTTACAAATGTGCTAGCCCATTTACCCCATCTGCCCAGATAGACACGCCTTCGTGATTCGTTGTGAGATGTTGTGTTGGAACCGCGTGGATACAGAGCTGAGAATATTGAGCGAGCATTTGCCCTGATCAGGGAGTTACTTGCTTAGAGCACATTTATATTTGCCAATAGTTTTTCTAGTCCCAGAATGCATACTGCTTTTTGGTGATGTTTGCTTTGAACAGTCAACTTGCATTTATGCAAGGTCTGTGTTGACTGAGGTGAATTCTCAAAGGAAAAGCATATCTGAAACCAGTCAAAAGCATCATGAATTGCCACCCCTGTACTTGGCAGTGAGACTCATCCTGATAAAAAGCCAGGGGCAGGGAGGCACTTGGGAGCCTGGCTTTGGGGTCAGACCTGACTTTGAAGCTAAACTCTGCCACTTATAAGCTCTGAGAACGTGTCCCTTTAAAACCAGTTATCACTCTAAAATGGTGATGACAAAGTCTATTTCGTGGGGTAATCTGAATGGTTATGGCACTAGTTGCATTAATTAATATATGCAGAGCAGCTAGCATGGAACCTGGTATCCAGTAGATGCTATCTAAATTGTCACTTCTACTAGTAAATCCTGGCTTCCAATCCGTCCTTAACACTATTAGCAGAGTTATTACCCCAAAGGGTTGTTGAGACCATCTTGTTTTCTCACTCCTCAGCCCAGTGCTCAGAGACTGAACGGTTTGAACTTAAACTTCTTCTATCTTTACTGTCTGTACTCAGACCATTCTTGACCCTCCCCTCCAATATCTGCCTTGAAAATTCTACCCTCTGCAAGTTCCCGCTCCAATATCACCTCCTCTCCAAACCACTTCTGTATATTGATTGACATTCACCTACTGTAGTCAGCCCGATTTTTATGAATCCCTCTTCTCCCTGTTTCTAAAGCGCACCTCATGTGTTTTATTTTGTCATCCACTCACACACGCATGACCGCAAACACTAGTAAGTCTACGTTATTGGCTTAGGCTCCATAAGGATGAAGATGAAAGATATTCTGCCTTCAAGGTGTTTACCAGCTAATGAGGGAGATGGATACATACATAGAAAATGACCTTGGTGTGTGATACGGTCTATAACAAAGACAGATTCGGGTGCTGTGCTGTGAAACAGAAGCAGGAAGCCAGTCTGTGGGCAGAGTCAGAGAAGATGTCTTGGTAGGAGATAAGCTATCATTTGAAAGCTGGGCGGGCGGGCGTTGGCCTAGCAGAGGACCTGGAAGGGCGGGACAGGAAGGGCTCAGCGGTGTCAGGAAGCAGAGCCAGCCTGAAAGACCAAAGTGCAGTGAAGAGTAGGAATGGAAAAGTGGATGGGGTAAGAGGGTTACAGCCTATCTTTTACTGGACGTGTGATTATAGAGATATTCATGTCAACTGCCACACACTTTCTTAGATTGCCATGGGCGGAGGGCTGGGCTGAACAAGGGAATGATAGTGATGTCATGTGTGGCTTTAACTTCTTCTCAGCTGGATCCAAGCTCCTTCAGGCTAAGGACTCCCTCTTACGTGACTTCATGTGGCCAGTGCCCAGCATAGAGCCTGGTGCACCCTGACAGATCAAGAGCAGCTTAGGTGTGGGGTCACGTGGCTCTTCATTAAATGATAGTCATAAAGATAAAACAGTCCCTTCTTTCATTATATGGTTGTGACGTCTCCTCTTCCCCAATAGGAGACTGGATCTTAACACATGCCTTTGCACATGCCTTCTGCTCAGGAACCTGTGGAGATGCCACCCTAGCCTTCTAGCATGGGTTCTGGGAGCCAGAAAGCAAAAGGGAAGCTATTATTTCATTTACAATAATTTTCTAATAAGGAGATGCTTAAGTGAACAATTAATTATAAAACCCATTGCCTGGATACGTGTAAGTCATTAATATATTAATAATTCATACCTGCTTATGAGAGCATGAACCTTCATTTCTAACAGTGTTAGCTGAAAGGGAGCTAACATTTGTCCTTGAAAATGAATTCAGATTTCATTTTCAGTCTTAATTCAAACAAGGCTCTGAATCAAAGCGATTTTCTTCCTGAGTGAAGGTTTTCATTGTTTGCTGTTCAGATTCACCTCCTCCTTTCCTCCACCCCTTCTCTACAAGGTCATTTAGAAGATTTTCCCTACTCAGAGGTTTTAGATGCTTTTACATATAAATTCTGTCCTGCCCACAGAGTAGTTGCGCAAAAAAGAACTGTAATCAGTATGATCAGATCTTACGTGGAAGGTCCAATGCTCGTAGAAATGTTAGGATTGAAATCCCCCCAGAACAAACTCACCTGCCTTGTCTCTACCGGAGTGAAAACGGTTGGCTCCCAAGTTAAGTGATTCCTGAAAGAAAATCCCATCTTGTGTTTATGCCTTGACATCCCCACTGTGGCCTGATGCCCAGCGACAGCTAAGCTCCCTGGGAAATTAGCTAACCAGCCCTGATGTGCCTTAATAGACTCAGAAATACGATTACCTTTGCTTGCCAGAGAGCAATTCATTGATTTGTCTGGTTCTGTCAGAAACAATCCTTTCCTTTACTTCTCTTATTAGAATATGTTGGGATCCTTCTCATTCATTCCTATCCTTTTGGAAGGGAGGGGGAATTATACATGGTCTGATTTGGGATTTTTATCACTTACAGCCAAGGGTTCCATCTAGCACAAGGAGGGTAGATAGGCTCGATGATCTTTAAGAGTCTTTCTGTGAAATTCCATGATGATTATTTTCATAAAAATTTGATCTCTCTTTCCCCATAAAATGGCATTTTATCTCCCCGCGATAAGTTTTTTATTTTAAATATCTGTTTAAGTAATACTGAGGATAAACAAGAATATAATTATTATAAATGGGGCTTGTTTAGTAAAACTGCTATTTAAGAACCAGTGATATACTGACAGTAATAAAGGGATTTATGTCCCTCAGATATTTGTCTCAATGTCGTTCTTTGAAGCAATTTAACGCTCACCATCTTTAGAAGTCTCCATTCAAATATCTTTACTTTGCTAGGTTTTACTCCTTGGCTACATATTCGGGCATATAGGCCTCTCTGGGAAACATCAGTACTCAAGGTGTGGGGTGGGGTGTGTGTGTGTGTGTGTGTGTGTGTGTGTGTGTGTGTATCATCAGACCTCAGACATACGGAACGCTTCGCGTTTTGCGCGTCGTCCTTGTGCAGGGGCCCTGCTGTCTTCTCTGTGTAGTTCCAGTTTTAGTGTGTGTGCGGCCGAAGTGAGCACTAAAATGACATTTTAAATAATTATTCCTGTGGAGGGTGAACAGACGTCAGTGGCCCAAGGGCTTATGTAGATGGACCTCCTGGATTATTTTTCTAGCAAATCCACATTCCTGTTAACAATTACCCTGTCCCATTTTTTTTTTCCTGTTTTTTCCCCTTTGAATCTGTGACTTCATAAGCCTGCTGCTTTAAGCCTTTTATCCTCTTAACCCCTGGCTGAGGACATGCTCAGCAGATCTGTAAAGAAAAGCTCCTTCCAGGGGGCTGAGAGCTGGCCTGCCGAGATTAAAATGTCTCTGGTGAGCTCAGAACCACCCACAGGGCCTAATAACCTCGGGGAGGAATAAAGGCAGAACAGAAAGGCAATGGAGAGTGTGGTCCTTTCTAGTTTTGTGCTCACAGGTCCTCGCTCAGGCCTCTCAAGGAGAACGACAGGGCACGTGGTCATGGACGTGGTGTAGAGGGCAGAGCAGAGACCCAGATCTGGTCTAAGACACAGAGACCTGGGATCTACCTGCACGTCTTCTGCAACCAGCCGGGTACCCGTGGGCGAGTTACTTTCTCGGTTTCCTTACTTATTTTGCAGGATCTCTATTGGAAGTCATGAGGTGATATTTGTAAAGCATCTAGTTAGAGAGCCAGGCCTGGCAGTGCTGCCAAATTGGGCTAAGCCCTCTCTGGCCTTTCTGTCCCATTGATTCCAATGCAAACTCTGCACCAGACGGTCCTCAGCTGGTCAGGGCCAGGGCTGGAGCAGACCACTGGCCTGGTCGGACTCTGGACTGGGTGATCCTTTTTATATTTTAAGCAGTTATTTAAATTCGTCACTACTAATCTCCCAGGAAGAGGTCTCCTTGCCAGTCGGAAACCTAATGGACTCCATGCGGATTTGTATTGGCCTCAATGGGGGAAATTCTGCTTTCTCTTCTTTATCTCATTTTTGGAATCTATAAAGTGAAAATGCCACAGTTCTTTTCTTCTGCCTTAATTGAGATGTAATTGACGTATAATATTGTGTAAGTTTAAGGTGTATGTGTGATGATTTCATGTATGTATATATCGTGAAAGGATTACAATACGGTTAGTTCAGACATCCCTCAGCTCAGATAGTTACCTTTGTGTGTGTGTGTGTGTGTGTGTGTGTGTGTGTGTGTGTGTGTGTGTGTGTGAGATCATTTAAGATCTACTCTCTTACTAGCTTTCCAATACACAGTACATATCTAAAGAAATAATAGCTTTAGGGAAACTCGTGAGATACTATAGTCAATAGAGTTATACTGAACTATAGGATGTTTCTTTTCTAGAAGGGTCTTTGAGTGGATCTCGGGTCAGAGTAGAAGATGTAAGAGAGTGAAGTCCTTAACTGCTCTGGTTTCATTCCCAACTGTTGTCAAATGTCGCTCAAAAGCAATTTTAAATGCATTTCATCGTTTTCTCATTTTAAACTTTCAATAGCCGTCATACAGAGTGAAGTCAGAAAGAGAAAAACAAATATCGTATATTAATGCATATATGTGGAATCTGAGAACATTGGTATAGACGATCTTATTTACAAAGCAGAAATAGAGACACAGACATAGAGAACAAACGTATGAACTGGGAGATTGGGATTGACATATATACACTATTGATGCTAAGTATAAAATAGGTAACTAATGAAAACCTACAGTATAGCACAGGGAACTCTACTCAGTGCTCTGTGGTGACCTAAATGGGAAGGAAATCCACAAAAGAGGGAATATATGTATACGTATAGCTGATTCACTTTGCTGTACAGTAGAAACTAACACAGCATTGTAAAGCAACTATACGCCAATAAAAATTAAAAAAATAAACTTTCAATAGCACACACATATAGTTTTGCCTAGTGGAAGAATTATGGTGACATTTTCATCCTTGTACTTTTCCTTATTTTTCACAATATACATATCACTTTTGTAATCAGAACCCTCTCTCTCCCTCTCTCTCTCTCTCTCTCTCTCTCTCTCTCTCTCTATATATATATATATATATATATATATATATATATATATAATCATCCAACAGAGTGAGGGAGGAAATGATCGTCACCCTAACAGTCCTCGTTTAATCTCAAATCTCTGTTCCATCTCGTCTTAGACTTCCGCAGAAAGCATTTTACAAAGCTCAGAGGAATTAAACACTGATTAAGAATCTTCAGGGCATCAGGCAGGGAACCTCCACCTTTTGAGTAGAGGAACATTTGTGAACCGTGGGAATCTAAAAATCTCCCACGTCACTGATGTCTGGGTCTCCATGGCCTCACAGATCCCAGGAATTGGCACTCAGGTCACTGCAGTTACTGTTTGGGAAAAGAAAAGACATGCCTGGAAGGTTGGTTCTTTGCTGTTCCTCCTAAAAGTAGGCAGAACTTTGCTTTCATCGGCATGCTGTGCTCCCAGAAAGGGTGAAATTCTGTGCTCTCTCTGAAAAAATCTCTTTAGTGTCATTGCATGAAACTTTTATGTTTCAACCCACTAGAATCAACCAGAATTTATTTGGAGTAGAAAATTATAAAATTCTCTATTATTACAAATAGCTTCACGTAACCCCACAATTCTACAAGGGATGTAGTATTATCCCTAAATCATAGAGGAAGCAGAGCCTGACATGGGTTCCAAGTCTGGCTCAGTTTTGCACATTGTGCAGGTGGCCAGGTGGAGGGTTTCTTGCGGGGATGCCTGCACCCCAGAGTCCTTGCATTTGCTTTCTACTTCACGAGGCATGTCTTGTTTGGCTTGGGCAGACGAGGGTGTTCAGATGTTGCGATGACTGCCCCTACCTCCAACTTCTTTAAACGCTTGCACTTCTGCAAACAGCACAACTACAGAGCACGACTTTCCCTTCTGCTCAGACTTCCTTTCCTGGCCGCCTGGCATCTATCTGGATGTTTTCCTTGAATAATCAGGGGATGATGTACTGGGAATTGAATCCTTCCAGCCAAAGACTGACAGACCCCAGAGGCATTTGCTTAACCAAATCTATTCACACTTCTTTGACAAAAGATCCTTCCGTAAATAGAATCCTCGGAGAAGATCTCTTGCCCGCCCCCCTTTTTCTACCCATTAACGCTTTCTCTACCGTCATCTTTCTCAAGAAGGAGTATGTAGCGTCCCTCCCACGCAGCTCTTGCACAAATTGCCCCTTGTAAAACAGACCCAGGGTCGCCTCTTGTTCTTTTACTTATTTCCTCATTAATTTACCCATTCTGGAGACTTTGAGCGCTTGCTCCTGTTGGCTCTGTCCTAGGAATTCTGGGCAGAACATTGAGAAAGAGCCGTGAACTCAAGTTGTTTCCAACGTGCTATGGGAGAAAGAGATGTGAGTTAATAAAGTGATGTCAGAAATGGAACAAAAAAGCACGGACAAGGTCCTAAGGTGCTGAGGGAGGACAGGGATACCATCTCCTCTCTCGGGAGGCATCACGACAGGTTACGCAGAAGATGGGGGTTCTACTGGTCAGGCGAAGGCTGGAGGGGAATCTCAGTCAGTGAGAACAGCATGTGCAAAGGCCTGGGGATGATAAAGGTCATGGCATCCCTGGGAAATGCCACACTGCTGAAGAGGGCTCCCTAGAGGTGGTGTTTTTGATGGAGTGGGAGAGGCGGAATTGCACTCTGTCGATCAAGGAGGGTGAAGAAACCATATAAGTAAGGGAATTTCTTGATGATTTGTGTTGTAAAAATGATGCTTTGGAAGCAAAGAGGATGGCAGGTGGGGTGAGGAAAAATAATGACAGTGGTGAGGACAGCTCAGACGGAGAATAGTTGAAAAATCTTGAAGCACTGGAATGGGAAGAATTGGTGCTTTAATGTCATGTTACGGGGGAGAGAAGTCATAGTGATAGTCAGTTGCGCCCTTGGGTGAATTGGTACATAAAGTCGAGGAGGGGTAGGACCAGGCAGCCAGAGGTGACGTGAGTCTAGAGGTCCGGAGGCAGTGGGGTATCTGAGTCCAGAGACCAGGTAGGAATCAGGGCTGGGATTTGTCTGCTCATGGGCATAACTGAGCCCGCGTGAAATCATTCAGTAACTTGTGACACTTTGTGAGCTCAGACTGTGTGCCAGGACCTTTACTCTATCAACTCACTTGATGCTATTGATAGCTCTATGAGCTAGGTATCATTACGTTCATTTTACAGATGGGTAAACGGAAGCTCCAGGACGCCTGGCTATCCCAGGGCAGAGTCAAGGTTTGAATTCATGGCTCTTTGCCTCCAAAGTCAGTATTATCAACACTGTTTTTTTATTCTGTTGGCGAGACCAGACTCCAAGAGAAAAATGACGATTTAAGCACAATTGGGTGGAAATGCAGACCAAGGCGTTTGAACTTTCTCCTCTAAGGATGTTACAGGAGGGGTGAGTAGGAAATGTTTGAAGGAGGGGAGGATCAGATTTGCGTTAGAACACCCTTTGGCTTAAGCGTGGAGAACGCAGGCACTGCCTGACAGGTAGTTGGCACTCACACATTTGAATTCCTAGTCGTTGGTTGAGGTTACTTATCTGAACCGGGCCCTGATGAAGGAGACGTTCACTGAGCAGTGTGACAAAGACGTTTCTCATCACACTCCAAATCCTATCGGTTGGTAGTTTCTGAGGTTTGTATAAAGCTCAAATCCCGCCACTGATTTCTCTCTTCAGATGACTTAGTGAGCTCCAGACCCATAAGAAACAGTCATGAAATGGAACCAATGTCCTTTATCTGTAGCTGGGAGAGCTCCTAATACTCTCACAGGGCAGGGTATTGACACAACAGATGGAGCAAATAAGGATTAGGCGTAGATGCCCAAATGGGATTTCTTCCGGCCTCTGTCTGCCCCAACTGAGATAAATCTTTACACTCAAGTGTTCAGAGACAGAGGAGGGAGAGGGAAGGAGAGAAGATGAATGGATACCTTGGGTCCAGGAGGGGCCCAGGATTTATAGGCTGAGCTGTACTTAACTGAATACGAAGAATAAATGGCAGATAGAAGACTGTGCATGG